CACTAAGAAGAATATATGCAGTGTATTATTTGTTGAAACTGTACTTCCGATTTGATTTGAAACTGTCTCATTGCTATCTGTTTATCAATAAAACTTTAAAAAAAAAACCACAAATGTAGAAAGCCAAATTATCATAAATACCTTCACCGAATAGTTGTACACATTGACTCTTCCCTGTCAGACACCTCCCATTAATGCAAATCCACTTGTTTTCTCCGCACTTGTGCCCATTGAGAATATATAAGTCTTCTTTGCAAGAATCAGATGTGCCGTTGCAGACCTCGGGGAGGTCACACTCGTCCGCAGGAGACCGGCACACTTGTCCCTCAGCTTTGAACTGATGGGGTAAAGTACACTATATTGAACAATGCAGCATGTGAAGGTATGAGAATGATACAGGCAGAATAATAATTTTCATTATGTGCACCATGGAGACATTTAAAAAATATTTCTAAGGCCGGTGAAACAGCTCAGCAAACTAAATACCTGCTTAGGCAAGCCAGGGATTTCGGTTCAATTCCCTGCGCCACATGCTGCCCTGGCCCCGCCCCCAGGCCTGCTGAGCCAGTGACTGAGTCTGGGAGTGGTGACACAAGCTTGTAACCCAAGAGCTGGCGAGGCTGAAAACAGGAGGATCACTGCGAGTCTGAGCTGCGGAGTGACACCCTGTACCAAATACATTTCTATGTTTCTTACCTGACAATTATCACAACATGGCCCTTGAGCACATTGTGCACCGTCTTTCAGTCTGCATGAAGAATACTCGCAGCAGACGGGTGGGGCACTTACACACTCCTAGAAGGCAAATCAAATTCTTTGGAGTATCTTTCAATTTTTCTTTACATTGCATATATATTTTAATGATCAAAACATGCTGCATGGTACACAGATAGATGCTTGACTTCAAAGGTTGGAAAACAGAGAGGTCACCTATTTATTAACAGCCATTTATTGATTATCTATAAAGTGTTTAGATCTTGGTAGTTTTAAAAAAATACTTTAAAATTAAGTTTGGCTATGTTGGTAATAGGATCTCTGGGATCATAGCCGAGACACTGACAAGATCTCTTGTTCTTGCAGATAAATATTTGGTTAAATATGAGATATGAGATAAACGTTAGTTATAATCTAAAAATCTTGTAGTGATGAGTTCTTATTTGAGCCATCTGAATCTACTGTGCTACCGATAGTTCAATATTTTATGGGATATTGTAAGTTTGCTTCATTTTTAATTCTCTAAGGAAAGCTAAAAATGATATTGTATCTTAAGGTGACTGAAATTTTCACTTTTGAGTCATTCATCCACATATCATTGTGCCCATTTTAATCCTAAAATTCACCTCTACCTATAAATCAGGTTCAAAATTTGTTATTATTAAGGATAATAAAAGAAACACATAAGAGAGGGTTGGAGCGACAATATATTCACACACGTGTGCACACACACACACACACACACACACACACCCATATGTTCTAAATTCCCAGGGACTTGAAGGGGAAAGTTTCAGTGCAAAGATACATTATAGATTTCAGTAGTCTTAATGTGATTTATAGCAACGCCTTGACCAGGGCACACACTTTTCACAGCCAGCTTGTCCAATAAATCTCAGCGCTTTTTCTATGTGTATGGAATTCTAGAGGGGAAAGAGACAAGTGTGCTGAGCACTCAATCACATGACATTTAATGTAGCTGAAATACACTGCTGTCAACTTTTAGTGAAACTATTTAAGGGTTTCCACTTAAGCCAAACCAAACCATAATAAGTAGGGGGCAGAGGTGGGGAGCTATTTGTTTAGAACATATTACCCACTCAGGAACCTAGAAGCATACTTTCCTTGGGGAGGGTGCCCACGTGGGACCCCAGCCTCTGTGTGGAATACTGGATTCCTGCATGTTGTCCGACCCAAGCTCATGCCACACACTGTGGGAGGAACACAGCTCTCCCGCTCCATGTCTCCATTTCCCCTCCCTCACTTTGTATTTTCTCTACCTTTACTCTATGCGCAGCCCTCCAACCTGGCCAATTTATCTAAAGTTTCTGTGGTTTGGAAAGAATGTCTTTGCTTACATGCATTTCAGATCTTTTTGGCTAAAATGCTGACTTAGATTTAAATATTCAAAACCCACAAATGGGTCCCCCTCATGTTTTCTTATTCTATATGGGAAGTTTCACATTTCTCTATCTGAATGGCAGATTTTAGGGGCTGGGGAGATAGCCCAATAGAATAAGCTCTTTCCTGGCAAGCGCAAGGGCCTGAGTTCAATCTCTGGTTCCGCCAAAAAAAGAAAAAAGGATGTGAAATAAATGCACCTGAACACTATCCCTCCCACCTATTTCTAATCCTTCTCTAACCAGATGAACACACTTTTGGAACAAGTACTGTGAAACAATATGCTCTGGAGGAGGAGAACCAGTGTGGATCAGCTCTGGACTAAGCTGATAATAGCGACGTTGACAACTACCTGTTTGGGAGATTAGAGTGGTGGTTATTGAGAGAGCTATGGGGGGGGGGGATAGACTATAATCCCAAAGTACAAAATTTCAGTTATACAGGCTGAGAGAGCTCTGGAAATACAGTATAATGTAAAACAATATGACATATGGTTAATGATATTCTATTGTATACTTGAAATTTGCTAAAAGGATGTACCTAACTGTTCTCAGCAGAATAATGAAGTGGGCTGGGGGGAGGAAGGAAAGAAGGGTAGGGAGGAAAAGAGAATGTGAAAAGAATTATGATATGTAGGGCTGGCGAGATGGCTCCGCACACTAATGCCAGCTTTGGCAAGTGCAGGATCCGGGGTTCGATCCCCTGCACCACGTGCTATGCTGGCTCCACCCCCAGGGTGGGCTGAGCCGGTGATGGAGTCTGGGCATGGTGGTGCATGCCTGTAATCCCAGCCCTGGGGAGGCTAAGAGCAGGAGGATCACTAGGAGTCTCAACTGCATAGTGACACCCTGTACCAAATACATAAATGAAAAAAAAAAAGAAAAAAAGAATTACAATAGGTTATACTCATGTATCAACTCTCCATGATAAATACAATTGTACTGCAAGCATATACTAGATACTTTTTTAAAAGTTATGACAGCGTAAGCTATCTTTTATTTGTAAAAGACACAGTGAGCAGTGAGATTACTGCTGTGTTAGTTTATGGTGAATATTTTATAACATATACATAAGCAATCAAGTCACGTACCATAAAGTATATGCAGTTTTTGTTCCTTCAATAAACAGTAAAAACTTTCTTATCCCTCAATAAGATGCAATTAAAAAAATAAGAAAGCCAGCCTGTCAATGAATCCACACCACAGTACCTAACTGCTGCGCCTGTGGATTTAGCTCAAGTCCTTTTGCATCTTCCTGAAGGCCCTTATGGAAAGATGAGTGCAATCAAGTACCAAATAGCCGTGGCGCGATTCTGCCGCAGCCTTTCCAAGCTGGCACTGACCTCTTGCGTTCCACAGTCGCAGACTTCACCTTGCTCCACCTTGTTATTGCCACAAACCGGATTTTGCCGGTAAGCTGGCTCCAAGCGCGGCTGGTTCTGCAGGCACTGGGACATCTGCTTGGTCATGAAATGTGCAAAAGCTTCCATGCTGCAGTTACTGAACATCCTCACACCACTGGAATGACTAAACATACAGCAAAGTTCAAGGTTTGTGTTGGGTTTCCAGAAAATGCCTCTTCTTAGAATAAAGCCGTTTATTTAGCATTGTACAACAGACCTAATTCTCTCATCGCTCAACATTATTAATATGAACTACATAAAATGCCATGTGTCTTTGTCTAGATTAACCAGGGAAGATATCTAAGGCATGAGCAAAATAGCGGGAACTTTTTGTGATGTGATCTTAGGAAGCCAGAGTAGTTAAGAAAAATGGATGCATTATTAATTTAGCAATGGGGACTGCATCCTGGAAACCTACAGAGCAGCATGTGGGACAGCCAGCAAAATTGAAGAGCTGGCTGCGGCAGTGCACACCTATAATCCCAGCACTTGGAGTGGAGGGAGGAGGATCACTGTGATTTCCAGGCCAGCTTGGGCTGTCTAAGAGAGTTTAAGTCCAGCCTGAACTGCATAGTGAGACTGTCTCAAAAAAGAAATTGCCTCTGGATCATCAGGAGCTGGTGCGCCACCCGAGTGGCTGAAGGCTGCTCCTGTAGAGGGCAGTGCTTTTCTCTTTAGGGCTTGTGTGACAGGTGGCCTGGGGAAGAAGCCGAGTGACTCTGATGGCTGCCAAAATGTGGACCAGGTCTTTGAGTACCTATTCTGAAGTAGATACTGTCTGGTGAGAATTGAAAACGAGACATAACGTCTGCATGCAGTAGCCCCCATGTAGTCATGGGGAGAATGTGGATCCCTGATGGGTGCTAAGTCAAGTTCCTCACGCAGCAAGAAGTAATTTTTTCATATCATATGCACATTCTGGAGTGTTCTTTAAAACATCCCTGCGCTCTTTACAATGCCAGGTACAATATAGATGCTACGTCCATAGTTGTTGCACTAGAGTGTTTAGGAAACTGGCAAGAAAAAAAATCTATGCATGTTTGGTACAGGTTGTTTTTGTAACACTGGGGCTTGAACCCAGGGCCTTTGCAGGGAGCTAGTTACATTCCCAACCCTGTTTTTACATTCTTAAATTTTGACACAGGGTCTCAGTATGTGGCGATGTTGCCCAGGCTGGGCTTGAACTGTGGATCTTCTTGCCTCAGCCTCCCTAAGTGCTGGGACTACAGGCATGTTTTGATCCATCATTGACTGAAAAAGAAGAGGCAGCCTCCGCTGACAGACATAACCAACTGTGCTTGGTACCACTCTCCACAAACTCATATGCTTCTTTCTCACCTCGGTCTCTGAATGTTTGATTTTACAGCATCAAGTTCTAGATACCCAAGTTATTTGTCACGGCACAGGCATCTACATCCACCCCACCTTCTGGCCCTTCCCTCACCCCAGGACAAGGAGGAAAGCAAGCGCAAATCTACATGCGGGCCTTTTACAGTTCCCTGCTGTCCTTAGGTCTCAGTCTAACTGGACTATGCTATGTAACTTGTTTTCTTTCTTTATTCTACAACTAACATATTAAAAAATGACTGTGGTTTTCTTTCCTCCTTCATTAGTTTTAGGGAACCACTCGAGGATGAGAAGTGATTACAAGATATGGGTGCGGCAGATGGAGGGGGCCTGGGCTCCTCGTTCATGCCATTCACCTGTGCTAGCTGGACCTCTCCAGCCTGCCCCAATTGCTCATCAGATAGATTGAGGAGCTCGCTTCATCTTACAGTCCTGCAGATCTGAAGATATCCAATGGTGGGGCACCTCGTCAGCTTTAGGGCCACAGTCGCTCGCCGTTACTGCCCCCTGAATGCACACTCAGCTCTATAAGTGCACAGCAGGGGCTGAAGGGAGGAATAGCGCTGCACTGTAGACAGCTGGCACTTAACAGGGACTCCCTGGGTACCCAACCAACGAGAATATCTTTGGCCTCACTGTGTTTTACTCATTCTGAGGACCCTGAAAGACCAAAGCTTGCCTGCCCACACCCTGGACCTGCTGCACTGCCCTGCCAAATACGTCCTTCCTGCCATCATAGGATTCATCCAACTTGACCATCATGTCCTAAAGAGACGTTGTTTGTAGGCACTTAGGAGGCCTATTTGATATAGCCTCCTTTGCCCATCAGAGCCTGAAATAAGAGCTTGGGAACCAGTAATTTGGGGAGCCATAGAGAAGCGATGGAGGGGGAGACATTTGGGACCAAAAGCAGCAGGGCCTCAGTTCCTTAAGATGTCTGAGAGGCAGAGAGCACCTCCAGGTACTGTCTGTCTAGAATACAACAGGTTGGCTCCCATCCTGGGCAAGATGGTGTCCTTCAATGCCCTGGCTGTCTGATCTCACTTCACACTTTCCTAACAGGCTCTAAGAAGAATAAGGAGAACACCCAAACAAACTCCCTAGGCCTGGGGGCACAAGATTCCTAGACCACACTCAACATCTTTCCATCAGTGGAGGCCAACGTAGCTGAACCAGGGCGGGATGGAAGAGAGTACCGCCAGCCACAGCTCTCGTATGCTGACTGCAAGCCTGTGTTTGATCGCCAAACCACAAATTATTAGAAAATACACAAGTTAACAGTGGGAAGTGTAGGTAGCTCAGACAAGAGAAAGCAGGCATGATACTAGAGTATGGGAAGTAGTAGGATGCCCAGGCATGGCGCATGGTCTTGGAGTACATACTTTGGTCCAGGTCCTTTGTCATAGTTGATACTTAGCTGAACAGATGAAATTTCCTTAAAATTAATACACCAAAATACCTTACTGCAGACTCTATGTCAGATTTAAAAGCTAGGCCTCTTACAGTGCTTCCGGGTTCATTATGCAGACAGTTCCGGGGCAGTGGCATTGGTTAATGTCATCATAAGGGATTCCCATGCTCAGACTCAGGAGCTGAACTAAAATAATTCCAAAGGAGTCCAGGGTTATACTTTTGGGGTACTGAAAGACAAACCACAGGTGTACATGTACACGTTACTTCCATTCTCAGAACAACTCAATTATTACACACTGTCACATAATAACATGGGAAATACGATCCACTCAAGGTCCACCCATAGTGGCCTAATTTAATAGTTACAAGTAGCATTAAAACATATAAAAAACGCAAAATGAAATCTGAGAGTGCACCGCACTGTAGGTGTATGACTTATTTGATGGCATTGGACCAATGAAAATCCTGTCCTAGAAGCCTAACGTATACAGGTGCGATGCAGTTCTTGCGTTGGCATGCACAGGAGGAGACCTGGCAAGGCGAATCCTGTGTTCCACGTTCTGAGCAGGTTGTGCTCACTCTGATTTGATTCTTCCCAAATGACACTGTACATAAATCCTCTACAAATGTTTTGTTTTGTTTTTTGTTTTTTTGAAAAAACCCCATAAAATCACTCTGTGAAATAGCTCACATTATGGTAATAATGCCTGACAATATGAATGCTCACATCCAATAATTGGTTAACCTTTATTTTCAAAATTAAATACTTTGGTTTTCTTTTCATAAAAGCAAGATGCTCATTGCAGTGCATTTTGATGCTACTTAGACACTGGAATGTGGGTGAAAATCTGCAAGGCATGTATTGGACGGGCGTAATTCAAGCTGTGTTTCTAGGTGGTACTTGGGGTTTCTTCTGTTTGCCTCTCTAAAGCAGCTACTCATCATTGTCCATCCTGCACTTCCAAGAGGAGGACGTGGGTGGATTTTACCCAAGGGTTCCCTCGTCGTTTGGTTTTGCCTTCATGTAGCCTGGCCTCACGGAAGGCAACAGTGCGGGAGAGTGAGGTATTTATTACCAGCATTGCCAGGGCGGCTCAGGCTCCTCCAGCCTAGGCTGGTGGTCCACCTTCTACTACAACCTCATAAAAGGACTTTGCCCTGCCCTTCAAGACCAACGCAGGGCACTGCGAAGTCCTTATACCTTGTGCGCACCCTGACATCTTCCATGGACAAAGGGGAGGCAAGGAGAAGTGGAAGAGGGAAGGAGGAACAATTACATGGGGAAGAATATGAAAGATCCTGAAGTTTGAGAGTGTAAATATTTTTTTTTGACTGTACAAAAATCATGGACTTTATTATACATTAAAAAAAATCTTCTAACAAGTTATTTCCTGAAGGCTTGTCAGCAAATATTTTCACAAAATGAGAAAAATAAATTCTCTGCCCCACATGTATACCATGATCACATGAAATGAGTTCTTCAAATCCAATTCTGAAGGGAAACATTACTTGACCTTTAACTGCACACTGCATAACAGCATCAGTGAAATATTAATCGATCCACTTACATTACAGTATCACCCAATAAACAAAGCGATTTTGCACATTGTAGTTTAATCCCCAGTAGTAACTGAAGTGAATTACTTATGAGAACAGTCACAAGAGATTGGTTAAGAAGTGTAACGTGGTTCTAGGGCTGTTAACTAATGAAGAATAAAACTCTCATGAGTTAACCAAACTTGCTAAAACAAAGAGCTTGCTATAATTGGTATGCTTAAATATTTAAAGTACAATCCAAACGCTAGGAGGCTGTTATTAAAACAAACATTAATATTTTAATTTATTAATTTTTAAAAATATTATTTTATTCAGGTAGCAGGAGGTTTTATAATATGCTTTTAGGGTCTGTTAGCATTATAGTAAGACTCAAGTTTTAAATACCATGGCTCGTGATCAAAATTGACTCGGATGCCTTTACCACACAAGACTGTGTTACCGCACATTCTACTGTCCTTTTCCCAAGAAAAATAGAAGCAATTTTATCCCTCCTCAGTTGTGAAACCTAAGAATTCTTCTAAAATTAAACATAATCACTGTTCTATAGTTATGTTTTAGTCCCCAATAAATTTTTAAAATTCTAAAAAGATGCAGGAATAACTGATTTCCTATCTACTGTTACCAGTTACAAATGTACTGTTCATATATGTAGCAGAATGCACAGTACAATTAGGTGGGCTTAATTTCTGCTCTTAAAAAAAAAAGAACAGTTTTGTTGATCTCTAAAAATCAGCAAGTGCAATACAATCAGCATCTAAGTATCCCAGAGCTAGAAGGGCTTTCACAAGAGGATGTAACAGTACGAGATCAGTACTAGCTTTAACAATAAGAAAGCCATAAGCAACCTTCTATCAACAAAAGGGAGAGCTTCTTAAAGTTGATGCTTACAATCTGCAGGAATGGAATACAGTTTAATAGGACCAGAACAGAAACTGAGCCTACTCATACTTCTGTTTGGCATTAGAATGCATTTTGGTTTGACCCAAAGATATGGATGTATGAGAATTTCTACGAAATGTGACTTAAGAGGACTTACAAGTCTGTCTAGCACCCCCGTCTGCAACAACCCTGAACAGAGAGTGTAATTATTAGCATAATGTCACTGGGTTTATTTTCAATAATCTTGTTTCAAAGATATTGTGGAAAGGACCCAGCACCTAGTCTATCTATCTTTAAGTTTTTCTCTCTCCTTTTTTTTTTTTTTTTTTTTTTTTTGTTCTCTTTCACAGCTCAGTGAGGTGGAAATATCATTCCTGCAAACATCCCCGTGGGCATGCGTGTGCCAGCAGGTGTTTTCTTCCCCAAGTTCCTTTATTCCTGTCCTCCCCTCGCAGGGACAATCCTTTCACAGCACAGCAGGGCTTAGATCAGGTTGTCCATTTGATTTTTTTTTTTTTTTTTTTTTTTTTTTGTATTTCAGGGAAGGATCTATAGGGTGTTCAGGGTCTCACTACTAGATTGGACTCGTAGTGATCCGCCTGTTTACAGCCTCCCAAGAGCTGGGATTACAGGTGTGTGCCACCATGCCCAGTCTCCATTCCTGTCTTAGCACGCCCCCGGGGGTTAGAGGGGAGGGTGGCACAGCAGGCCTGGGGATCGAATCCCCGGCCCCTGTACCTGCTTGCAGGTGCTTTAATCCACTGAGCTATTTGGCTGGCCCTTTGATGGCATTTAATTACATCCTCTTTGTGACTGCTGATGAGCTCAGCTATTAGTCAGCTTGGCCTGCCATACCACAGCACCAAAGACTATGTGGCTTCCAGCACAGAAATTGGTGCTCTTGTAATTTTTGGAGAATCTCACATTTCTAGAGGTTCAAGTCCAAGGAGCTGGCGAGGCTGGCTTGTGCTGAGGCCCCTCTTCCCGCTGTGCAAGGCTGCATTCTGCTGTGTCCTCTGTGCGCACACGGTAGCGGGCTGCCTCTTGCGTCCCTCCTCTTCTTTGTTGGACCTGAGTCCTACAGGTAAGAGCACTGGCCATCTGTTAGCCCCGAGGTCCTTCTTGCTGGCTGCCCATTTCCAAATGGAGTCTCTTGGGGTTAGTGCTTTGAGACAGAAATTTGAAAGGGACACAATTCAGCCCATGGCAGACTGGTTTGAAAAACCTGAGAGACTGAGAGTGAGAATTTCTTATAGGACTTTGTTTTTCTTACTTCAGTTTTGCAAATAAAGGGAGAAATAAAGGAAAATCATATTCAGTACTCTATGTTAGTCAGACTTCATTTTGCTGGACAAAATATCCGATCTTTGAAACTTAGGTTTATTAGACTTCCTGGGTTTTTGAGGCCTCAGCCAGAGCTGGCTGGCTTCAAGAAAGAGGGGTAGGCAGAGCAAAACTGCTTTGCTCATGGTGACCAGAAGTAGAACAGGAACAGAGACAAACTCCCAGGCCAAGCCTCTGGGACCACTCGGACACCCCACAGTGTGCTCTGCTAATCCCCTGGGTGGCTCCCAAGCCTTCAAGTTGACAATCCAGCTTAACTGTCACACACTAGATTTCAATTAATATTATGGACCACAAAACATCAACAAAGTAGAGAAATTTCTTATGGTGAACAGTACCCGCCTAGCACAACAATTTTCAGGTAACAATAATTGCAGCAAACCTTTATTAGAGCTTCTGACTTGCTCATTGACAGAGTAAGAAATTGATGAAACAGTAGGTACTTGGTAAAACTTCTTTTGCTGCCTAACACATGATTACTTTCTATAAATGAACCTACCACATACGCTTTGATGAAACTTCTAGTCCCTGCTTTTGGAATCCATATATTATAAGGTAAATAAGCAGCAGAGAGCAGCTGGCTCGTGTAAAGGTCATGTGGCATGGAATCCATCGTGTCTGGCCTCAGGCAGAGGGTGGGATAAGGCCCTCAGACGTGAGCAAAGCGAAGTGGGTACCTTTGTAGGGCTGGGGAGAAGGCATAGCTTTGACTGAATGGTATTGGGTCTTCTCCTATTCTTTATATATATCACTAGGGGGCATATGTGCATCTCTTTTTTTGCATTTACATAATTGTATCAGCTTGTGCTTGCATATATACATACAAATTAACATATAACATATATTATCCATTTATAATTATTTCCACCAATAGCTATTTCAGTGTTTGCTTTAAATGTTTTATAAGAATTTCATATATGCCTACATGTGGATTCAGGATTATGATGTAATAAAGGCTAATAAAATGCTGCTCCGGTAGTTGATCTGAGTACCCCACAGTAGGTCTGTTGGTTGACGGAGGGGAAGATGCATCACCAGGATGTCATCTCCTCCAAAATAACCTACAAATCCAGTCTCAGCCCATACAATTCCAAGTAGCTTCTGTTAGAATTGACGAGCTGAAGAACAGACGAGAAAGGTCTACGCTACTAATTTTGATGATTTACTATAAAATGAGAGTCATTTAGACAACAGGGTGTTAGAAGGACAGGCAAATAGAACAATGATCATATAAGATTCCAAAAAGGTCAAATACATCCTTTTTTTTTTTTCTATAATAAAGGAACCAGCATCATTTTATAAAGGAAAAAACATCCTACAGTAACCTGCAATGTGCTGTGAATCCACCCTGTCATCCTGCTGTTCTCCACTCATAGCTGGTGATTTAACAATTCTTTCTCTCCCTTTTGACCATCCGTGAGCTCCTTTCAGCCTGCTTTAGTTCTCTTCATCCAGATGTTGCAGCATGGGGGAGCCTGGGGAGATTCTGGGGGGAACCCAGCAATAAAACAGGATTCTGTTGTTTGGTTGAAGTTTAGAGAGAGA